CAAACAGCGGAACTCAAAACGTGCTTAAAGTCCTAGTTAAGACCCATGTTCTGGATATATCTACATAACAGTGGAACTCGAGCTCAGTATCTTTGAGTTGGAATTTGAAGTAGAAGATTCTACGTTCAAATTCCACTATGAACATCAGCAATAGGATACAGATAAATCTAACTGATGCGTACCAAATGAAAATTGTCACTCATTATTTGCTTCACTACTAACTATAATTCAGTCTTACTAAAACTTGTACTTACTTCTTTAGTTAAAAGGTTGAAATGTTATGTAAAAATATCAATAGAGGTTTTTTCAGACTTCTACATAATAAGTGTCGTAGCAACAGAAATATTAGTGATAGATTTGTTCTAACAATCAGCTTATTAGCTTTTAATAGTCAAAAAGCAAATGAACTATCATAAATTTATCAAAAAATCATTATACTACTTACAACTCATCAGTAAATATCCATGAATAAAGCAAAATAACTGATATTGTAGTGAAGGAGAACACAGGTGAGAACAACCGAATTGTATTTAGCACAAAATTACAGAGTTACTTGTTAAAATAGAAAAACCATATAGCAAATCGTTAATTTACGAAATATCAATTCATCATATCAACATGGACTGTTCCTGTTACAAACATCAATCCATTGTCTCACATTTCATTGTTCATCCGTTTTCTTACAAATTGCATTGTGTTCGCGCACTTCCTTTCTTGATCTTCGCCCATCTTCTGCTGCCAGACATCACGTTTTGAACTTGTGTCATATACTACTTACATCAATATAAGTAGCACGCCCCACAATATGAATAGATTTTATATCGTTTTTAACAATATAAAATGAGGAAACAAAACATACAATATGTTCATCTTGGAAGACATGTTAATATAGCTGATGATGTGAACTATCTACTTGTACATTAATATAATCTTTTATTAATTGACTTTTATAATAATCTTTCTTTAATAGTTAGTAACACAATTCACTAAATGAATCCGTTCAAAAATTCATTATCTTTATTAAGGATTTATCTTTAATGAAAAATAACTTTTATTTCTACAACAGCTATTTGATAATATTGATTAGTTGGTACTAAGTGATCCTCATAGTGACTAGTCATTACGATATAATATCATAAACATCTATAGTAAATTGAAATCGCACAGCATTTGTTCATTGTATATACAGTAGTGCTTGCTTATTTCAAACGTTCTTTGTTTTGTAGCTTATTATCCTAAACGAATGTATGGGCACATGAAGAATTGCATCATGTTCGATGTTTTAAAAAAATTCATCCACACATTAAATGTAATTTGTTAATTAATTTTCATTGATAATTGAAGTGTATTATATAAATTTTATTAAAGAATTCAATATGAAATTAGAATTTGTTTTATTGTTTTAATGACAAAAAAGAAACACTGAAAGAAAATTTAAATAAAAATATTGAACATTCAAATAAGCAAACAAACGATCAAAAAGTTCATTCATTTTAATTAGTGAAGTACTTTATCTTAAATTCAAATTATACGAATATTCGTCAAGATTAGAATGAATAGTTTAATAGAAATCAGGCACCGAATATAGAGAAGTCCTTATATGTGAAAATTATTATTTGAAATAATCTTAGCGATTAGAATTTAAAATAATTCCAACGTTTCGTCCAGCTAACTTGTCTGGACTTCTTCAGGATAATAATCAAAATATATAGAACAACTTTCGTTATCAATTGTTAAAAGGATATTTCTGAGTGATATGCGTTGATTTTGATTATTACCCTGAAGAAGTTCAGACAAGTTAACTGGACGAAACGTTGGAATTTTTTCAAAATTTCAATCACTGAGATTAGTTCAGATGATAATTTTCACATATAATGATTAAATTTAATTGATTTTGATTTGATTTTTTAAAATTTTTTTCTGATATATCAGTCAGTCAGTCAGTCAGTAACAACGTAGAACTTCGTACGTACGTACATCAGTTCGAGTTGCCACACCACCTTAGCACAAAGATGCAGTTGTCGATTCAAATCAACTTTATTTAGTTTTCTTTTGATGAATTTTATTGAATTTCATAACATCTTCGATATTTATAGATGATACTATCTGAATTTCATGTTAAAGAAAGTTTATAGTTCAGATAGATTATATCAGTGGCATTTGGATTCTTTGAGATGGATAGTTTACTTATGAATTATTCATTGTATTTGTATTTGTAAACAAAAGCGATCTCTTTAACCTCAAAATAGTGGACATTTTATGTTAATCTGTATTGAATAAGGTGGATTGACTGAGCTACCACTGTTTGAAAATTTGTTTTCATTAATTCTTTACTTTGACTTGATGTTTGAACTAGTTTGCAGATTGAGTCTCTTATCATTTGTTTATTGATTACTGAGTAAACTGGGAGTCAAGTTTACAAAAACAAAACTCTTGAAATTTCTTCATGTTTAAATTTACTTTTAAGATATTTCCTCAGAGTAATTTGTGTCTGCAGTTATCTACATTCATTTAAACAAGTGAAGACATATTATTGTGTTTACATAGACCGAATCAAAGAGGATGGATTTCTTATACGGTGTATTTTGTTTCATCGTTGATGCAACCTATCTTTGTGATAATATTTCTTTTTACCAATTTGCCCTTTAGTTTGTAGAGATTTTGTGGATACAATTGATTGACCAATTACTATAGTCCTTAAATTTAGGATCTTGTGTATATCTTAGATTATGTAGATATATTACATCTATAAAAATTTATATACTTAATAAGTTAGTGAATAAATCACTCTATGATTAGTTTTCTTTATGAAGCCGTACATTCGAATTATGAACATGAATTTAAAAACCCACTTGATTTAAAGAAGCAAACTACAAGTCTTAAAACTGACATACATTGTAAGCGATGACAACTTTTTTTTCTTTCTTTGATAACTTCTTAATGGAATAACTGTGATTATTAGTATCATTGTTCATGTCATTAGGAAAATTAGCAGTTCAAACGGTGTCATACAAAAATGAGTGCATAATCCTGAAATTAAATTGATCGTATAAAATAGAAATTCCGCGTAAATTCTCCTTATCAGATAAGTGAAGTTCGGAAGCAAATCTATTCAGTTTCTATTTGTTAATTTATGCGATTGATGTTTTTGAGTGTATTAGCAGACTTTGGATTTACAAAGTGTTAAAAATGTCACTTTCATATGAACCATTACTAATTTAAAAAATCAGACAAGTTTTTTGATATGTTTTTTAAAACTAATAAATGGATTTCACTGAGAACTTACACCATATGATGAACAAGTTAAAACCTAAAGTATTAGAAAATAGTCATCTTCTAGTTCGGGACACTATGACAATGTTCACATAGAATTCAGTTTAGAATTCGTCAATCTTAAAATGTCTTGAAGATTATTATCAGACCCCGAATCAATGACTCCAATATTTTACGTTCGTCACAGGACTCGAGTTAAGGAATTTTTCTGTGTATACTGATGAGTAGCATGTCACTGAGCAATATTTTATAAATAATTGGCACCAATAATCTCAGTCGATAACGAAAGTTGTGTTTATGTAAACTGAGTACCAAGTGTAATATTTCTTACATAGAACAAACTTACATGGTAAAGATTTAAGTATTAGTTTTCTTTAATGGACTAAGTCTAACCATCTTCAATTTTTCCGTAGCGTTAATAAATGCATTACATCTGAATTCTGTGACCAATATTTAGGCGTACATCACCTACGGATTTTTCAATCTACTCATTTATTCACTGGGAATGTATGTGAATAAAGAATTATTAACTTTAATGTTATAAACTGGTTATCTAATATCTAGTTATTATTGCACTCATTTACTAGGTATAAGGTAATGTATCAGACTTCGAGCCAGATTCTAAGTGTATGTAAATGTGTGTGGCTAGTTATACTACCTGATCCTGATCTTGTAGATGAAGCTGAGTTCACAGCTGGGACCTATTGGCTGGAAATCAAACTTCATAACTAATAAGCGACTGTTCCATGTTTACTTGATAAGGATTAGGACTAGAAAAGAATATGTTTTATTTTGTATATATTTTAAAAGTGAAGTTCAATAAAACATAAACATAAGAAGAAAAATAAATACCGTTAATATATGGTTATTCTGTTACCCGGTGATAAATTGTGATAGGCTTTGTAGTCTTCAGAACTTGACATATTTTATCAGTTAATTTCTAGATGTAATGTATCAACATACTAGTAAATGTTTTAGGGACATTCGTTGGTGGGATATGATGAGTAGTATACCGAATAGTACTTATTAGTAATGTAAGTCAGCCGAAATATCTCACTGGTAATGTCATTATTTGTACCTAAGAGTCAAGTAATTCAAACTGTTAAGAGGTTAAAGGTATCCATTTACAAAAAATCATAGACACATCCTCATGAAACCAAAATTTAAAAAATCTCATTCATTGTTTTTAACAGTAAAACATAATACCTAGTTTAAGTTTAATGCACAACTAACGGGGAATACATAACATAAATAGTTAGATTGCCTCATGTGATTATATTGAAGGAAAAAAAAATCAAATTTATGGCTCTGTACTCAGTTTTTATATTCCTGGTTGTTTCAATATATTTAATCTTGTGAAATTCGTAAGTTGATTTGAGACGATAAGTGCCTGAATAAAAGCTGATGAGTTCGAATCGGTCAAACATTATTCTGAATCTGATTATTATTCGAAAATCAGCTCACTGGAATGTAATTTTCGATCCACTTTTTGTTTCAAATGAATCATCGACTGTCAAAAATTCTTTCAAGGTGTCACAGACGTCTGTTTAAGGTATCTGAAGAAAAAATTGTCAGTGCGAAGACAGATGAGCTCCTTTCAGTCTAAATGATAGTTAACGAACAACCTGAGGAACATTCTTCTTCTCATCACTTATAAGGTGACCATGATATAATGGACGTACCAACTAAATTTTAATATTTGTTCTATATATTTGTAAATAATTCAGGTCCAATCGCATTCTCTTCATGGAAATGAAGACCAATCTCTCTCAGTTCAGTTTCAGAAAAATAAAACTCAACGATCTTTAGATACCGGTTTGGAGAGCAAGCCAACTGATTTGAAAAGTAAGTATGAGAAATATGAATATCTTATTACATTGTAATTGTATATAATAACGAATAAATAGTTATTTTTTGTTATGGTATACGTAAAATCTGTAAAGCAGATGCTTATTATTGTAGGATTGTTATAAGATTGATACCATTTATGCATTATGGAATATCCAGTAAAACGTATTCACCTGAGGAATTAAACATATTTCCCAACTGTAATATAGACGACGAACATTTATTGAGAGTGGAGTCCAGCTATGTCTGGCGTGAAACGATTATCCACTATAGACAGTGAAAGACGGTAGAGAAATATTACTAATTGAGTGAGGTTATACATTGATACCCATGGGTGTTGGCTTGGTAGTCTACAAGTTAAGCATTCGTGCATAAGACCTGGGGCCTTGGACTCAAATCCTAAATGTGGCTCATGGATGCACTATACTCAGCAGTTCCATACTAGAACCAAACAGACATCAATTAACTCAAGATTTTCAACAATGGTTTCATCAAAATCACTTTGTGATTTCAACGATGAAGATTTTACAATTTCCACAAATCCCTCTACACTAATTTCTATTGATATTGTATTTATTGAGTAACAATTAGATTGTAATACAAGTTAGCTGACTATTAGATCATCCAAAAAGTATCTTATGCAATAAACTAAAAACAGTCGTAAATTTATATTGTTGAAATTATAGATAATAGATTGACTGAATCATATAAATAGTTACTGTTCTAGAAATATTCAAGTTGAAAAGGAAATTGTATCAGTATAAAATTTCTATTAATAATCACAGATTCAATCTTTGTTATCAACTGAGAAATGAAATTCATTTGATGTTGTTTTACTTGTATATTTCGATTGTTATTTAGGACTGCAGTTGATCAGTCTCATGTTGGCATATGTGCATTCTGTGCGGATTGCCTAGATATAGCCTTAAGTCACAAGCTTTTTAAGCAAAGGTGGATAGTAGCTATCAGGACTCAGTAGGTAAGTGGATAACGCGATGACATTTAGAGCTGACGGTACTGGGTTCGAGTCCCGGAGTGAAAATCAACTCTGGGATGCAGGTACATCCAGCTGACGAGTCCCAAATAGGACAAAACGTGCGTCCTGGATTCCACAGCTAGCCACTATCCATCTTTGCTTAAGAAATGAAATGTTTGAAAAGTATTTTATTTACAACAATTAATCTCTTTCATAAATGTAGGTAATGGAATGAAGGAAAAAAACGAGGTTTATCCTAGCTATATGACATCTTAACTCCATATATTTCAAAGAATCGGATCACACATTTACCTAATAGCATTTATATATGAAAAATAAAGGTCAATTAAGTGAATTGAAAGATCAAAGTAAAACAAAGATAATAATAATAATTAAAAAAACAATGTGTAAAACAACTTGTATCATACCAATTTGGATAATCAATTTAATTTAAGTAAAAAATTATTTCTGAACACAATCGACATTGGAACTAGACATTCAAACAGCTATGGCTTCGATGTTGAAATACGTAATAAGATTGGTTCTTATTCACACTTGATAGTTTTGTATAATAATTGTTTAGAGTAAACACTTTGTTTGTAAATTGGATTATCTTGAAGTATTTATTTATTATCTATTATTATCGTATTTCATTGTTATTTTAATACATTGTGTCTGCATCGACCATATATTTACCATTCATCAGGTTCTAGAACACAGGCATGCTTATCGGCGTCCGACAAAGGTGGTCTTTTTTAACTTTAAAGCAGCATTTGACTCTGTAGACGACGACATTCTGTGGCAGTGTCTGTCATTGAAAGGCGTACCTCAGAAGTACATAAACCTTGTGAAGGCTTTTTACTCGAACACTACTAGTTGAGTCAGAGCTTATGGTGAATTGTCATCTGCTTTTGCAACTTCATGTGGTGTCCGTCAACACTATCCACTTACTCCACTTTTGTTTAACTTGTTTAACATAGACTGAATTTTCGGCCATTGATATCCAACCAAGAGGTTCACTTATCGACTCAGAATACGCAGATAACATAGTCTTGTTTGTTGAAGACGCTGATAAAATGCAGAGTCTTCTGGTAGCACTGTGCAACAACACTAGGATGTTTGGGTTGCGCTTCTCTCCCTCTAAATGCAAGTTGTTGCTTCAGGACTGGCCTGCGTCAAGACCTGAACTAAGGATAGGGAGTGAAGTAGTCGAACGCGTTGACAACTTCACTTATCTTGGAAGTCTGATCAGCCCTAATGGGTTGGTATCGGAAGAAATCTCAGCACGGATTCGAAAAGCTCGATTGGCTTTTGCCAACTTACGTCACCTATGGCGAAGGCGAGATATCCGTCTATCAATAAAAGGACGAGTATACTGCGCAGCAGTCCGTTCTGTTTTAATTTACGGCAGCGAAACATGGCCATTAAGAGTAGAAGACACTCGTAAGCTATTAGTATTTGACCACAGATGTCTTAGAAATATTGCTGGCGTCTGCTGGGATCACCGGGTAAGTAATAGTGAGGTTAGACGCAGGGTATTAGGTTTTAATGGTAAATCAGTTGATGAGGTTATGAATCTTCATCGACTGAGATGGTTGGGCCACGTATTACGTATGCCTGAACACCGATTACCACGACGTGCAATGCTAACCGGTGTAGGGGATGGTTGGAAGAAAGTTAGGGGCGGCCAAACCAAAACGTGGCATCAGTCATTGAATTCACTAACTTCTGGTTTGAGCCATGTTGGTAGATGCAGACTACTTGGTTGGGGTCCGCGTGACTATCGTAACCAATGGTTGGAGACTCTAGATGACATAGCGGAGAATCTATCACAATGGCGTAGCTGTTTACACTCTTTGTCTTCCCTTGATCACCGAGATTAAAAATTACTTCATATCTTTCTTTCTACGAACTAATTCTTTCTTCCTGTACTATTTTCTTATATGCAATCTTCCTTTAATATTATCACCACTGAATTAACTACTTTTATGAATCCGGTGTTCATTTTGTTGTGCTAATGAGGTATGGAAAGTTGAACTTATGCACATATATGCCTGGCTCGACGTTGTAACTAATTGGTTTTAATACATTTTTTCTATTATATTCATTATTCTATACTATTGGGAAGTGTAGAGTTTATAACCCGATAAAAAAAACTGGATGAATTATAAACATCTTATAAATTTGTAAGATAATCCTTTAAAGTGTTCTACGTATATCATTCATTTTGATGTGCTAAGAATTTCAAAGGAATTTTTTTATAAAAAATCTATTCCTTAATAATATTGATTTCTTAGTTGAACAAAGAAAAAACAACAACAGATACTGATAAGATCCTTAATTTCTTGTAGGTTACTAACAGAAAATTAAAAACACTTTTAAGATAACCAATATCCTTGACATATTTCATATAATCCAGATTAATTTCCATTACAGATACAATCAATGACCTGAAATTTAATCACATTAATTTCTAGAACAAATTATTAATACTACTTATTATTATTATTATTATTATTATTATTATTATTATTATTATAGGGAATCGGAATACCAACATAAATAAGAATGAGAGTAGTTCATCTATTCATTGTGAATAATAAAATTTCTAACTATTCAAACTCATGATTATATTTTTTTATTATTGTTCAGTTAAATCATTTTTAATCAACATTTTATGATCATTAAAGTGAGAGCAAAAAAAAGAGAAAGAAAAAAGGAAACAGTAGAAAGAAAAACACGATCGATGGAGACAAGTTATGGGAATTCGTATTGAACACGAGAGAAGTAGAAGAAGAAGAAGAAGAAATAGGATTCATTTGTCTTTATTTATTTATTTATTTCCACAGTGGTCTATATATGAATATGAATTCAACCCTATTAAAAATATGAAGGTTGATTAAGAGAAGCGTAAAAGAAAAAGATTAATGAGAAAGATAAATAGAAAATAAGCTCTATTCTATATTCCTAATTTTGAACGAGTGAATTGAGAGTTTGAGCAAGCGGATTAAAACAAAACACATTCATAAGATTAATTAATAGAGGCAAGCAAAAGAAAAAAAAATACGTCAGTTGATAAGAAGTAAACAAAAAAATTCTGTTTTCGTTTTTTGTTTGAAAGAAAAACAAAATAAAAAAAATAAAGGTCAATCAATTTTGTAAGAAAAATATTTAATTTTTTTTCTGGCATAGAAACTTATATTTCTATCTCTTAACAATAAGTAAATAATAAATAAAAGACAGTGGAGGTTTTTGGGGTATAACAAAAAGAACAAAAGATAACCGTCTCTTTCTTAAGTATAAAAGTTCATAAACATTCATTGATTTGAAACTAGTTTTTTTTTTCTTTTTTAATGATAATAAACTGGTAATCCTTTAAAAGCAGATAGGACTAAGTTGATAACTATGTGAATATTTTAGGTCAAGTTAAAGTATGAGTCTAATGATTCCATGTTTTCAATCATATTTCAGTAGATGTGACTTAGTGATAAAAAAAACTACACAGTAAAAAGACGTAGAATATATAGCACCTCATGTGCAATTGAGTTTGTTCTCATTTAATTCGGTCAAGCCCTTTTGTTAACTTCTTTAGCGGACAAAGTCATCCGTACTATAACAATTTATTGTGCCTTTATTAGTGTTGTGCTTGTATGAAATATGTATGCTTGAACATTGCTTACCGCCTACGCATATATTTAATTCTGCTAGCTTTATTATTAGCTGCTTAACTGACTCGATGATTCATCCGTGGATATACATGTACACTTAAACCTACACACTCTGCTCTTTCGATTCACTGACTTACTCATTTGCCTCTCTGCTTTGTGGTCGGAGTTATCTGCTAATAAAACTGTAGTCGCTGCTTCTCTTTGCCTTCTGATTTTAAACAGCGTTGATGATTATATGATAACGGTTACGAGGGTGATTGGTCAACGAAACACAGCAACTACAAATATATCTGTAAACATGGATTATAATTAGACGAATGAGCTATAATGGTTTAAACTTCATCAGAGAATTT